AGCAAGGTACCCCTTGGCCATCCCTACTGCTGGCCATGAGAACTGAAACAAGGGAGGCCTAGCTGGGTTCACGGCTCTGTTCCCAGTACCGACAGCTCCCCGAGGGCAGAGATGCCCTTAGGCCTGGTCTTTAGAGGCCAGTTTAGCCAAGAGAGGTCATTTCAGGTCAGGCTCTCCTCCTAAATTCCCCAGATGATCCGACCTGTGTGTTTAACCTGAGCAGTTAAAGAGACAAGGATAGGATGGTGGGAAGTGTTAACTCAGTGTGACTGCACTAGGAAGAAGCACGATGCCAGCGCTCAAGACTTCTCCCTGAGTCCCACGTTAAGGTCACTTCATGAGGTTTAGGTTTCAGCAGAGGGTAAGAAGTGTGTGAGTCTGACACAGAGAACTTCCTGGGAGACAAGTGTGTCATCGTCACCCCCTACCCCATCCTCCTCTCCTCTCCCCCCCACGGCTGACACCAGGCTACACAGTCTTGCCTTCTCAGAGCAGGAGATTCAGGGAAATTCCATTTCCTTGGGGACTATTGTTTCAATAATCTGATAGCCAAAGGGAGGGGCACAAATATCCCTCTTTAGAATGTGTTCCCTCCTGCCAGAAAGGTTACACCCAGATTCCAGATCTTCTCTGATGACTGTGCTCTGTGGGTCAGTGCAAGAGGAGTGAATGCCTGGGAAAGACGGGTCAATGCTAGGCCGGCCTGGCAGGGTGTGGGAACAGGTAATGAGAACATGGCTTCCCTCCCTGGCTCCAGGAGAGGTAGGCACCAACCACAAAATTATCGCTCGGCCCTTCCCAGGTTTTGCTAGAAGGTCGCAGCATCCATCCTCCTGAGGCACAGTGGGTTGTGGGCAGCTGCCACCACAGACACCTCCTAGTCAGGAAGTGCTGTACCGTTGGCTGAGAGAACCAGATCAAAGGGGGCTCAGCTCACTAAAAGAAGCTACTGTTCATGTGACCTGGGAAATATCCACTGCAAAGGTCCACTGAGCCCTACAAATGCTGCAGACACCCCAAAAGCCCAAGAAGCCTTCGTAGTCTTCTGAAGCCGTCTGACAGGCTTCCCAGATGGCAGCCCCAGCATCTCTCCTCTCATCCCTTTGGCTTCCAGCCCCACTTCATCCTCTCTCTGGGAGACACCCCCTTGAGAAACTTCACTTTAGCTGTGAGAGCTAGAGAGGAAGCAACAGCAACCAAAACCTACCCTCTCCTAGAGGGGGCTCCAAGGACAGCAGCCGTCGCCCCCTTGATCTGCCACTCTCTGGAGGTGGGAGGATGCTTTTGGTTGACAACTCCCATCATGCATCCCCACCCCAGACCCAAGGGGACAACCAGATGCCCTTGGGAGAAGCAACAGGTGCTTTGAGACTGGCTTACACCTAATTTAGCTCCGCCCCCAGGTGGCAGTCCTTCCTTCCAGGCTCTTCAGACAGCCCTGTGGATAGAACACTGCTCCTGCCAGCCTCCTAACAGAATGGGGAGCCTCAACTCCCACACAAGACAATGCAAGTCACGCAAATGCTCTAGAATGGTAGCGAGGTGTTCGGGAGCCGAGCGCTGGACGGGGAACAAGAGCAGACAGATGGTGTAAAGTGAATACCAGAGCTTAGATGCCTCAGATAAAAAGAGAGTGTATATTAATAATGTTTAATAGCAATTACATCCCCAAACAGTGTTATTCTTGAGAGAGTAGATTAAATAGAGCATTGCCCTTAATGTCACCTTTAATTTTTGACTTTTATTTACGTGGCTACTACAAAACTTGAAGGAGCATGTGCATGTCATCGTGTGGTCTTGCTCTAGGAGTAGTGAAAATGAAGACCCGTCAGTGCCATCTGAGAATGTATTCACGGTCCATCACTCTGACAAAAACACCCAAGACTATGTGAAAAGAAGATTGATTTGGGCTCACAGTTTCCTGAATCTCATTGTGAGGCCACTTGGCCTGCTCGCTTTCAGGCCTGTGCCTGAGGCCACACATCATGGCAGAAGTATGCGGTGGGGGAAAGCTGCGCACCTCCTAGCACCCAGGAAGCAGAGGAGGACCTCACGTTTTGTTGTATAAAGCCCCTGCTCCAAAACTCACTCAGTCAGGAGCCCATAAGTAGATGAATTCCCCCAGGAGGTCTAAGCCACTGGAGTATGATCAGTCAGTTTCTAAGGGCCTCCAACCCAGTACCCTGGGGCCTTCAGTCAACACGTGAGCCCTTGGGGGACATAAGAGATCCACTGGAGAGGGTTAGGAAAACTGGACAGTACAGGCCAGGGCTGAGCTAGGAATGTGTGTCTCATGATGGGGCTGGAATTTGGGGGAGGCAGGGCCAAACTAGCTGCCTAGGGCAGCCTGGGAAGATGGATGTGAGTGGGATTCTAACAGGTGCCTATTTTGGACAACTTGTCAGCTCAAATCAGCCTTTGTTCATTTGGCAGGTAGTAGGAGGTCAAGATGCAATCTCTCTCCAAGATGCTTCAGCCCAGAAGGGTTATGGGGATTTGCCCTCTCAGAGACCAGCGTTCCGTGGCCAACACAGAGGCACATTTAAGTGCAGACACCAGAGTAACAGCTGCGGACTCCAGGCTGCAAAACTATCCTGAGCACTTGGAGATTGTTGAACGCTCTCAAAATCCCATCTGGCTGTCTTGATTACGGCCTGTGTTTTATAAATAAGGACACAAACTCTCCAAGGCTTGACTGACAAGCACATCTCACAGACAAGAAATCAGGATTTACTCCTGGCTCTCTGGAAGCACTCTAGACCACCAAGTACTAGACCACCTTACTGGGAGTTCTGTCTCGCTGAGGGGCAGCCCAGTCGCTCCACCTGGCAAATCCACCTCTGGCTGCTGTGCCTGCTAACTGGGTTCAAGCTGCCAGGGAGCAAACACTGCTGGAATCAGCTGGCTCCCTGCGGCTCCCACAGGTACAGCCTGCAGCACCTCAATCTCAACCTGTGCGGTGCTCTACCCCCAAGAAGGCTGACTTTGTGGAAGGCTCAGCAGAGGGGTAGGTTCCTCTACAGTCCTCTGCCTTACCCCTCCAGTCCCAGGGGACCCCTCAGGATCTGTGTCTGCTCCAGGGGGAGCTGGGTTTGGGTCTGTGCTTTTTGTCACGATCTCTGTTCCCCTTGGCAGGTTCCATCTGGCTTTTAGATATTATAAATAGCCGCAGCTAGGGTGTGACTTGGGTGGAGACCTGGAGCCTGCTGCTCCACCCTGAAAGGGGGAAAAGGCTTTTTTAATTCGTTTCTGCCCTTGGCAACCCTCTAGCTTTTTAGAAGGCCATTTAGGCAGCAGCTGTCGGTTGGGATTTTTTCCTCCCCCTATCCTAAGATGGCCTGTTTGATTTTTTTTCCATGCTTGTTGATTTAAGCTTTTACAGGAGGTTGGGTGGGGTGGGTGGGGTGGGTGGGGTGAGTCCGGCCCACAGCAACTTCGAACACAAGCTGTCTACGCTTGGCTGACTCTTGGCAAGCTTCTGAACTGGTGATGGTGGCCAAGGTGGGGCAGCAACTGAGAGCCAGCACTTCTCTGCTGCCTCCAGGACGCAGGAGTTTGGGATTTAAAAAAAAATGGAAAGGAAGGGAGGGAGGGAGGGAGGGGGAGGGGGAGGGAGAGAGAGAGAGAGAGAGAGAGAGGGAAGGAGAGAGAGAGAGAGAGAGAGAGAGAGAGAAAGGGAAGGAGGGAGGGAGGGAGAGAGAGAGGGGGGGGGGGAGGGAGGGGGAGAGAGAGGGAGAGAGAGAGAGAGAGGAAGAGAGAGGGAGAGAGAGAGAGAGAGAGAGAGAGAGAGAGAGAGAGAGAGAAAGGGAAGGAGGGAGGGAGGGAGAGAGAGAGAGAGAGAGAGGGGGGGGGGGGGGGGGAGAGAGAGAGAGAGAGAGAGAGAGAGAGAGAGAGAGAGAGAGAGAACCATGCTTCCCCGAGAGAGGAGAGCCCCAGTTGTTGGTGTCTGAGGAAGTCTCAACCTGAAGCCTCTGCCAGTGTCCCGGAAAGTTCTGGAATGCTTAGCTACCACAGACTTTGGGGCACTGATGACTCACTGATGCTGATCTCCTGTGTGCTGTATTGGTATACTGTGGAACTCCCTGCTATGTCATAACCCTTCTGGGGATGAGAGTACCTGCCAAAGTCCCGGGGAGGGTGGGCTAGCAGCTTCCCCTGACATAAAGGGGGACTCCCTGATGATCACTTTCACCGGCTTCCTGTTAGGGGGAGACACAAAGCCCGAGAGCAGGTAGGCATTCGCAGACTTGCAGGAGGAGCAGAATCGATTGCAGGCCATCCGGCCACCAGTTCTTGTTGATACTGGAAATAATTGTTTTTAAATGAAAGCACTACCTGATACAATTCTATATAGTTGCATATTTTTAAAATCTTTGCAAAGTGAGTGACTGCAGCAATAGGAAATGTGAAGTGTGCAGATCTCTCTTCAGCAGACAAAAGAAAGGAGGATCCTTGTACTGCGGAAGACACAGCATTTTTAAAGCTTCGCGGTGAGATTGCTGGCCCTTTGTCTGGTCATAACATATATAACACCTCTGCCTTGAGCGGTACCAGGGCAGGCCTAGCTGAGGCTCTGATGCTGAAATCTATACTCTCTACCCTCAGGTATCATAAATATGCTTAGAGCTTAGAGTTGAAACTAGGGGTGTGGGGGCTCAGGGTGCCCCACAAAGAGTGCTGCTGGTATCCATTGGTATCTGGTGAGAGTCTTTGTGGTTAGTCAGGACATGGCGGAGGCCATCACATAGTGGGAAGGACTGAATGTGTGTTCAGGTCTATCCTGTGCTATAAAGCCATAGGTCTGTGGGCTAAGGGTCCAGCCACTTGATTCATTTAGCCTTAACTTTCAAATGCCCCACCTCCAAAGACAGTCAGAGTAGGTATCTGCTCCCTTAGCATCACACAATGGGCCTACGTTTCAGCATGAAGTTTAGGGAGAACACGCCAAACACAGCTCCTGCTCTTTTGTCTGCTGACTACACCAGAAACATCCCACTCACCGCAATTCTGCATACGTACAGTCCTAGCACAGGTGAGAGCAGGGGCTGCCGTTCGTCTCCCATGTGTGCACACCAGCGCTCTGGAGAGCAATTATAGACAAAGGGCCGCCAATCCACCGAAGTCGGGAAGGATGAATGCTGTGTGGACTAGGATCTGCGAGAACTTTCGGTAGAAGGCCGGAAAAAGGCTTCACGATCCTCTGTGGCCTTCAGAAGTGAGGGTTGGTGTTTGCAACTGTGAGTTGTTTGCATTCAGAGCAACGTTGACCTGGATCATGCATGCAGCTGGGGCTCTAAAGGGTAAAAAGAGTTTAGAAAAGAAAACAGTTTAAAAACATGCAGCTCAAGCTTAACAGAGGAGTCTAAAAATTACTTTGACTCATAGGTCAGTGCATGAGATTAGAATAGAGTCCAGTTGGCAGACAAGGGCTATTTAGGAAACCCCATTGTGTGTAAGTGAGACAGCCAGAATGTAGGTCAAGTCAACGTTATGTGTAACTGGAGTCTCAGAAAAGCATGAGATAGAGGTGGCAAACACAAGGCATCTCTATCTATCATTCATCCATTATCTATCATCTATGTATGTATGTATGTATGTATGTATGTATCTATCTATCTCTATCTATCTATCTATCTATCTATCTATCTATCTATCTATCTATCTATCTATCTATCTCATTCATCCATTATCTATCATCTATCTATCTATTATCTATCTATCCATCATCTATCTATCTATCTATCTATCTATCTATCTATCTATCTATCTATTCATCTACCTACCTACCAACCTATCTACTTGTTATCTATTGCCTATTTACCCCGTGAAAGCAGTAGGGGCAGATCCAAATTTTGTGGGTTTCTCTGAATGGTTGGTGGTCTTTACTTTCAACATGGCTATATTCAGGGCCAATCAGGAGACACATGCCACTCACTCCATGACTGTATTTCCCAAAGGGTTTAACTGAGGAGAGAAATTCCCCGAATAGGGGAGGCTTTTTAGGGTCCCAGACTGAATAGCAGGAAAAAACGAGAAGGGAAGCGCTGGCTTCCATATCTCTGCCTCCTGACCATGGGCACGAGCTGGCCGGCTCCTGCCATGTACCAATGAGTTAAAACAAGCCCTTTCCTTTCTTGTTTCCTTTGTTTGACCACATCAGTGAGAAAAGTAACTAGCCATCTCTCATTGTCTCCTTGAGAGTTATCTACTACAGGTAGAATATGCTGCCCCACTCCATGACTTGGGCAGGCCTTTAACTTCTGTGTTGGGTTGAGGCAATTTAAAAAAATCCCTTTGAATTGGAAAAAAAAAATAGCCTCTATTCAGATCTTGGCTTTTTATGTCCAAAGTAATAGTTAAAACACTGGAACTGGTTTAACCTTAACTCTTCTCTCATGGCATTGACTTCCTCCTTCTGGAAGCCTGCCCTGGGAAGGGGGCGTGCTCCTCCTCCTTGCCTCTGTCTGCTCACCTCCTCCCCTTGCTAGGCGCCATTTCCCTGTGTGTCTGGAATGGAGCCCAGAAAGGGGAGAGGTGAGGGAACAAGAGTCTTCTCACGTGGCAGGGTGGCCCAAGACATTTGGGCTGGACAATTGGCCTCCCTGGAGAGACCTGGCAGCCCATGAAAGCTGACCCTGTCAGAGGCCTCCAGCTGGGATTTTTTCTCTTGTTGTCCCCTGACTTAAGCTAAAGCGTCCCAGAGCCTCAAAGCAGCCTTATGCGACTCCTTCCCCAGCTGAAGGGATCTGACGGCTGAAGAACTGGCCCCTTTCTACAGAGGTCTTCCGTTTAGACCCAAGGCCATGGTACACTCACCCGTGCCTTTTAGCATATGGCCCCATCTCTAGTGTGGGGACATGTCTTTTGTCACTAAAGAAGTGGCTATCACTAACATTGAAAGGTCACAATGTCCATCACTGCCCTATGTCCTTCACAACTCCTGTCCAGTGACATTAAAGCTCACCACCACCTTGCATGATAGGTGAATCTGGAAATCCCTATCCATGGCTTTGACCCTAAACTTCTGCCTTCAGTGTGTTTATCCAAATCATCTTGTGGACATTTTCCTTCCCATTGGTTCTGTGGCAGAAGCAGGAACCAGAAGAGTGAGGCTTTATTGACCACGAACTTACCATGAGGCTTTGGGAAGTTGAGCAGTAGCTCTCTCAGGGTCTCAATTTTCCCAACTTTTTTTTTTTTTTGATTTTTCGAGACAGGGTTTCTCCGTAGTTTTTTTTTTTGGTTCCTGTCCTGGAACTAGCTCTTGTAGACCAGGCTGGCCTTGAACTCACAGAGATCCACCTGCCTCTGCCTCCCGAGTGCTGGGATTAAAGGCGTGCGCCACCACTGCCCGGATTTCCCAACTTGTTATCATCAAGGTGTTGGTAATAGGAGCAGCGGGGCTGCGTCCCCAGCACCCCGGCCACCTGGCTAGCTTATGCCCTGAAATAACGGCACACAAATTGTATTCATTTAAACACTGCTTGGCCCATTTCTATCTAGCCTCTTCTAGGCTAATTCTCACATATTAATTTAGTCCATTTCTAATCATCTGTGTAGCACCGCTAAGTGCGCTTACCAGGAAGATTCTAGCCTACGTCCATCCTGGATCGGAGCTGCCTGGGTGAGAGGAGCCTGGTGTCTCTGCTCCAGAAAGCAGAGCTGTCGAGTCTAAACTCACTTCCTCTTCCTCCCAGCATTCTATTCTGTTTACTCCTCCCACCTATGTTTTAACCTATCAGGGCCAAGCAGTTTCTTTATTGCTTAACCAATAAAATCAATGGATTGATATATGACACTCCCACATCACTTCCCCTTTTTCTGCTTAAACAAAAAAAGGAAGGCTTTAACTTTACATAGCAAAATTACGTATAACAAAACAGTTATCAAGTAAAAATTACAATAATCTTTATCATAACTAAGGAAAACTATAACTGTAACTAACTATTCTTAACTCCATCAAAGACTCCAGAAAGATACAATATTACCTAAGCAAACAAGAAATAAGCAACTTTCAAACTCTAGAAATGACAGAGACATCTCGCTGCCTGGACAGTCACCCAAAGTTCCTCTGTACCATTGGGGCTACCATCTTTGGCCTATAGGCCCATAGTTTCCAGCAGACATTTCCACAAAGCAAGAAATTTCAAAGGCAGTCACTATCTGCTTGTCCTGAAGAATGTCTTGCAGACTCTTTCATGAATCAGGAACCCCGAAAGATCGTCTCACCTTTAGGCAAGTTCAGTAGTCCTCTCTCTGCGGGTTCTTTGTGTCCAGTTTATGCAACAGTCCAGGCAAGAGCAGTTTCTTGCCCAAATGGCTATCAAACTCCATAAGGATCCTCTTCGATGCCCATCTTCTTCTTGAAGTAGATTGGTGCTGCCAGGAG